TCCCTACAGGTCCCTTCCCCTCCCTACAGGTCCCTTCCCCTCCCTACAGGTCCCTTCCCCTCCCTGCAGGTCTCTTTCCTTTGTTCATATCTTCTTGTTTTGTGACCCACTTAGTTTAACAAGGGCCGTCTTTGTGAGCAAAGGTATGAAACTATGCAGTGAAGCCTGGTGGCTCACTAGAGGGTACACATCTGAAGGGAATGACTCCACATCTCCAAGAAGCTATCACAAGTCAGTGAGACCTACGGCCCAGCCTGGCCTGGGACCTGCAGGCTGTCTTCCCCAGTCTCTGAGGGCTCAGATTGGATATAGATAGGGCCATCACCCATCTTCTTTACAATTTAGGATTGTGTGTGCAACTGGTGAGTAATTTTTTTAAGCACCTTTCCAATCAATAGGTCATATCACTAAATAGTTCTTTTCATTAAAATAAGAAGTTTGAACCATTAATACTAAATTACCAAATTTATAGCTTATTGAAATTAATGCCTTGTCCAAAAATGTTGGCCTATGCCTTTAATCCCAGCATTCGGGAGGCAGAGGCAGGCAGATCTCTGAGTTTGAGGCCGGCCTGGTCTACAGAGCAAGTTCCAGGACAGCCACGGCTACACAGAGAAACCCTGTCTTGAAAAGAAAAACAAAACAAAAACAGAGAAAGAAGGCAAGATCTGCTTGAGAGCAAACCGCTCACAGTTAGGTTGTAGCTGACAGTGCTAAGTCCCCAGTTGCAAGCGTTCTGGAGGGCACACTAGAGGAGTAAAGGACAGTTAGAGGAGGGAATTACTGACATCTGGAAGCATTGGCTTTACAGCAAGGCTCGCATTGAGCTTAAAGTCTTGTCCGTGTGGCCGGAACACGGGATGCCGACGGGAAGGGGTAAGAGTGGTTAAGTGTGGGATAGTGAGGGATTATGAGGGATGTCCTTGCGTAGGCTCCACAAAGGAGCTGGAGCTGGGGAAAGGAACATGTAGAGTGGCAGAAAACAAAGCGCAGGAGAGCGTGCACGCCCGGCCAGGGCAGAGCACGCTTTGGTGCCTTCCAGGAGTTGTCGACTGATGCTCCGTGGTTTGAGAGAAATGCGAGAGTGTTCGGCAATGCATTTGGTTCGTTTTATTCATTCATTCATTCATTCATTCATTCATTCATTCATTCATTCATTCAAGTGGTGCAGGAGACTGAATGCAGGACCCTGTGAATGTTAGGCAAGCCGTATTGTGTCGTTTACATTTTGTGTCTTTTGTGGATGACATTTCCTGAGGGTAAGAGCCTTGCAGCGTCTTGTAGAACAGGGGTCAATACATTTTGTGGTTTTCACAAACAAGTCATTAAGAGAGATTATGCAGGAAAAACTTGCCAGTACCACATGGTTCTGCTAGTGGGCAGCTGGGGAGACATGTGTCAGACCTGACTCCTGCCTGGACTTCTGAAAAAATGATGGTATCATTGTTGGAGACAGAGTGTCCAAAGGGGAGGCAGGGCTGTGTCTGTAGACAGCCTAGGAGTTCAATTTGGAACATCTGCAGTTTGAGGCTAAGTGAGACATTCAAGAGGAATTTATGGAGCCTAAGGACATGGAACAGGAACCCAGGTGACAGCGGATACCTGAAGTAGGCCTGAGTTGAGAGAGGATGGCTGGAGTTGCGGGAGTGCTGAGCCTCCTGAGGAAAGGCAAGGATCCAAGAACTGAGTCTGGAGTGGTATTCATGTGTAGGGGCTGGAAGAAGGCAGAGACTCATGGCAGTACTGTCCAATAGTTAGCCCTTGGCCATGGGCAGCCATTTAAGTTTATGTTCATTAAAATAAAACAACTCAATTGCCCAGCCACACTGGTCATATTTCAAGTGCTAATGGTTGCATGTGGTTAGTGGATGCTGCAAGGAACAGATAAAAGCATTTCACTGCCCTAGATTTTTTTTTTTTTTTGGTGTGTGTGTGTGTGTTTAAATTGGACAGTGCGGCTAAAATGGAGAAATACTCATCTGAGAGAAAACCAGAAAGCAGATGAAGTTTAAGGAGGAGAGCATTCTCAGGAGGAAGTGTTTACAGTATTGGATGTTGCAACTGGTGTCAGGGAGGCAAGTTCTTGAGACCTTGCGGCGTCAGGATAAACCAGAACGGAGACAACTGCCCCATCCCAGGAGGGTTTACATCCTGGTATTGGGGCTGAACACAGGCTCTCTACATATTAGACAATCACGTGGCCACTGAGATAACCAGCCAGCTCTCTTCACTGCTTATTTTCAGAGTTTTACTGTGTAGTCCAGGAAGCCTTCAATTTGAGAGTCTCCTGCTTCAGCAGGCCAAGTGCTGGGATTACAGAATATGTACTACCAAGTCTGGCCTACACGGAGAGTTTTCTTAAAGGCAAGAAACTTGTTCATGTCTGGAACAAACAGACAGGTCTATGAGCAGGGCAAAGTCTCCTGAGTCTGTGCACAGGCCCCTTTTCTCCTTTTAGTTCTGTATCCAAATCCTTCCACCCATGGGCCATGGGTGTCCTCTGGTAGCCACACACCTGAGGCCTGTATTAACTGTCTTTACGGTCCTTATTTCAGTCCAGTTCTCCAGTGACTAAGGCTGGAGCCCTTAGTCACACTGAGTCACTGACTTGTACTGGTCAGTCAAGCCATGCTTGCTTCACTGCCTTCACACCATTTAAAGGGTTTATTTTTTTTTTAATGTTAAAAATGATTATACAAATTTCAGATTACACAGTCTGAAGAATGATGGTGATACACTGGGCCTCCTAACAAGTACAACTTGACTTATAAGCACAGCACCTAGAAAATCCACTCAAATTTCATTTTCTTTACATTTTACTTTTATTTATTTATGGTGTTTGGTGGGGGGGCGGGGCTTGTGTACTACACCACGTGTGTCACAGTAAGGGGACAATTTGTGGGAGAGGGTTCTTCCATCATGTGGGTTCCTGTGATTAACCTTATGTGGTTGGGATTGGCCACAAGCCCTTCTGATCTGCTAAGTCATCTGGCTGGTCCTCATTTTCCTCTTTAACCATTTAAAACTTAGCATCCATCATCCCCTTGAAGAATATCACAGTGAATGTCTGTATTAGTGTCACTTCCTGTTGCTGTGATAAAACACCCTGACCAAGACAACTTAAGGGAGAAAAGTTTCTTTCAGTGTAGAATCCTGTTACAATCCATTCTAGCGGGGAAGTGAAGGGAGCAGGAATGCAGTCTGTCACATCACATACACAGACAAAGAGAAACAAATGCTTGCATGTTTACAGCTCAGCCTGGTGTCTCCACTCTTATACAGTCCGGGACTCAGACCTAGGGAATGGTGCCACCCACAGTGGGCTGTCTTCCCACATCAACTAACTTAATGAAGACAGCCCCATATAGACACAGGACGAGCTGATCTAGACAATCCCTCATTCAGACTCTCTTCTCAGGTGATTCTAGACTGTGTCAACGTGTCAATTAAAACCAACCATTATGGTATTATTTATATCCATGTATAGTCACAACTTGGTATGTTTTAAAACATATCCTACTGTAACTAGCTTTTTGTTTACTGTTTTTGAGACAGGTTTTCTCTGTGTAGCTTTGTGCCTTTCTAGAACTCACAGAGATTCACCTGGCTCTGCCTCCCGAGTGCTGGGATTAAAGGCATGTATCACCACCGACTGGCTTTTGTTCACTGTTTCTAAAACAGTTCAAAGTTCTACATATTCTGAACCAATTCATTGGTGTAGATTAAAAAAAAAAAAAGAAAGAAAAGAAAAGAAAAGAAAAACCAGAGCTGGTTAAACATGCTCAACTGTCCAGACAATACGGACATTTTCAGCTATATATGGTAAGACTAATTGCTGACCACAAATCCATAGAAATGTTCAAGCTGTTCAGCGAGGTACCTTATAGTCCCAGCTTGGTTTCCTTGTCTTTTCTTGGAGTTGTAGCTGATGTTATTACCGATTTTTGTCCTAGTCTACTGAGGAATAGGGTGATCTGGTTTTGTTTCTTGGCCAGGAATAGCTCATGAAAATCTTGAGAGAAAACATGACAAGAAACTGGGCCAAGGCATGAGGATGGGAAAAGAGATCTTACTACTGTTTTGAGATTTATTCATATTTATACTTTTAAAATTTCATTTAATGACTATACCAAAACATATTACTCCATTGTGAATTATATTAGTCACTACATGTATTATATAAATATAGCCATCATGTTTTGCATATGGTTTGAATATGTCTACACTAGTTAAGAAAAAAAAAAGTATTCTTTCAAGAGACCATAGTCTATAATAGTGGGGTGTTGGTGGTGCACACCTTTAATCCCAGCACTTGGGAAGCAGAAGCAGGCTGGATCTCTGAGTTCGAGGCCAGCCTGGTCTACAGAGTGAGTTCCAGGACAGCCAGGGCTATACAGATAAACCTTGTCTCGAACTCCCCCCCCACACACAAAAAGATGTCTATAATAGTAACTGTATGTGGTTGGAGAAGTTTGCTGAATCTCACCGTAGTGATGCTTTTGCCAATATGCATTCTTTAAGAGCTGTGCGTTAAAATAGCTAGCTTGGGTTATCTTTCTTGTGATCTAAAGATTGTTCATTCATAACACAATAGAGAATATGTGTCATTGTCAACATTAAAAATACCAGAAAATGTCTGAAATGCTCTTTTTAGAGCTATCCAGATAGGGACAAAGTGATAATTCTGTGAGACCCTCTTGAACTCTACTTGGGTGTCACCTATCTTGCTCATTCATCCATCCCCTTTTCTATCCCCCCCAATCAGACCATCCTGACAAATTTTCTTTAAAAAAACTAGGTGTAAAAGTGTACCATTTATACAAAAGCAGTATTTCTAGTGAAATATAGGAATACAGGAAACTACTGTTAAAAGAAATGAACCCTGTTCTTGGACTCAGAATTTCAAATTCGTTTTTGCATGCCTGCGCATGTGTGCTTTAAGGACAAGTCTTTGGTAATCTTTTGCACAATAAGTACAGGTTTCCTATTCTATGAGCATAGATAACAAATATGTCTTCTGGAACCGAGATGCGTTTTTTTTTCTTCCCCCAAATAAGATTCTTTCAAGTTAGTGCACATAAAATTAGTTTAAATGTTTCGACTTCACAACATTATACAAAATATAATAACTACAATAATTGGAACATAGATTCTTGCTTGAGTCAGATTTCTAGTAAAAGAAGTATTGTGGGCAGTGTTTCTTGAATTTAACCTTTTAGCAAATGTATCTAAAGGTAATAGGCAGTTATGTCTCTTATTGGCAGAACACAGAGAACCTGAAGAACATTCTCCTAAATAACATCAAGGCATTAAGGATGTCAAAGGAAGGAGGGGTAACCTAAATCACTAAGTGAAAAAGTGCACCTAAACGCTCCCAAGGGGGAGGGTACTTCAGGGGAGATTTACTATTTTAACAAATGTAGGCAATTGTTGACTTGCTTTTTCAGGAGGATTTAGAAGCAGGGACTATGTGTGTCCAGCAAAAATAATTTTAAAAGCTGACTGTGCTTCATTAAGTAAAATATAGCTAAGCTTGTTTTGGTATCACTGCCCAGAATGAAAACTCTTTTCCCTTGTGAAGCGACTTGAGATACCTTTTCGCTATGAAGTGCCTGCCTCTAAGGGTCCATAAAAGATGGTTGGGAACCAGAGGTTAAAAGGGGGGGATGGGAAGGCGATGGATCCGACTGTGGATTGAACGTGTGTGAAAAAGTCCTCCTCCAGCCTCGGAGGGGGTGCCTCCCCCAATACCAGCTCCCTCCCCCAGGGCTCATGGGGCGGGTCCGGTTTGCTCAGGAGCAGCAGCGGCCGCAGCAGCAGCCTTGGGGCTGAGCGGCGATGGCCTCCCGGCAGCGCCGGCAGGAGGCAGCTCCGAGAGCGAGCCCAGGCCCTGGGGAGATGCAGCTCAGGCGGCTGCCAGGATGGAGGAAACCGTCGAGCGGAGCCCGAGCCACCGGGGACGGACTTCCTCCCCAGCTCAGCTCCCCGGCAGCCCGGCGAGGCCTGCTCCAAGGGCCGACGAGTGAGAAGAGGCTTGGGCCTCGGGCCTGGCGGCGGCGGCAGCCCAGGAACGAGGCAGGCACAGCGGGGTAAACGCGCGAGCCGGGGCCGTTCTCAGGAACCTACAGCGCCACGGCCGCTCATTGTCTCTCCCCTTCCACCCGGGGGCAAACAGGAAGCCCGCCGCCTGGCCGAGCGACGGACGGGCGCCGGGACCAATGAGCACGGCGGACGGAGAGCGCGGCGGCGAATGAGCGCCGGGAAGAGGGGCGGGACTTCCGGGCGGGCTGTCACCCTCTTCCCCCCTTTTGGGCTGGAGGCTCCACCTTTTGTGTTTCCCGCACAGTCAATCAAAATAGGAAAAAAAAAAATCCCCGGACCGCTCCGGCCGTGTCCGCCGCCGCTTCCCGCATCCTCTCCCGCCGCCGCCGCCTTCGCTTCTCACCATGTGTAAGGCGGCGGGGAGCCCCGCCTGAGGTGTCCTAAACACACTATGACCGGTACGTAAAAGCCGAGCGAGAGCGAGCGAGCAACCCCTTCGCTGCCTCCGCCGCTGCCGCCCACAGCCAGCCCGGGGCCCCCGCCACCGCCGGCTCCCGGCCCCGAGTGTGCGAGCGAGTGTCTGTGGAGGCAGAAAGCCGCCCTCCCTCCCCCG